AATACCGTCTCGCCCTCCAAATCCTCCACTCCCAACCCCAACTCCATCCCGTCCTCCTCCACTGCCAACGTCACCACCACCACCCTCACCCCCATCACCACTCCCACCTCGACCTCCGCCACGCCCACGATCACCTGACTAGCCTACACCTACGCCACGAAACCACCTCGATACGCGCACTGGGAGATAACAAGGCAGGCGCCGTCAAGGACGAAGAAGGATCAGAAGCGGGAGTCTGATGGAGAGGGCGTTTGGGCGTGGAATGGGGTTGCATACGAATGCGTATTCTGCAGCGAAGGCTGGTGAGGGGAAGGAGAGGCAAGGTGCGGAGGGTGCGGAGGGTGCTGCTGGTGGGACGGGAGTGGAAGTGGGGGTGGGAGGAGGAGCGGGTGTAAAAGGAACGGGCGGGTGTGGGAGAAGGCGCAGAAGGGGAGGGATTGCCGAACGGGAACAAGAAAGGGAATAAGAATGTGAATGGGAGAGTGAATGGAGGACGGGGCGGAGGAGGAAGATGAGGATGCACTCGAGGGTGAGATAGGGGGAAACATCGAAGAGAGGGTCGACGCGATATGGTCATCGATAGGGAGGAGAATGTTCAGGTATGTTCAGGTCGTCATTGTAGTCTTGTTCGCGTTTGTTGATCCTAAGTGTGCATAGAAGGAGGTCAACTCGGATCCTCAGCCTCGATCTCTAGGAGGTCCAGATTCACATCGAGATCAACATGCAGCGTAGATACGTTCATGGCGGGGAAGAAAAGTGAACCTTTGTCGCCTTCTCTAGTTCAGTCCCATTCTCGTGCTCAGTCCTGGTCAAATCTGTATTAAGGACTAGGACCAGGTTAGGGATGAGTGCGATGTCAGGATCATCGCGAAGAAGATTGGTGAAGCTTCTCTCTTCCTTTCAGCCGAGAAAGATCGAACACAGGGCGGAAATTAGCAAAACAGAAGTGGACCGGGCGAGAAGTTTGAGCGCCACGGTAAATGCTGAACTGTATTTAAACTCAAAGAGCGGGAACCGCGAGGCCCAATCATAGCAACCAAGCGACATTTCGTGTTGTTTCGTGTTGTTTCTCTCTGTTTTGTTCGACTTCCGTTTTCCAAGCTCATATGTTCTTCAAGCTACAGGGGACACTGGTCAATGATCTAGTCTTCTACTTTACAACCTACGCTGCCTAGGATATTCTCCCGAGGGGAATATATTACTTTGCTATTCGGTTGCTATTCGGTTGCCCTGGCAGTCGCTGTGGCGTAAAGAGGTAAACACCGGGTCCGTTGACAGTCACCGTGAACAAGATCAAACCCTAATTTTTTCTGAATGGGAGCTCATTCGCATATATACCTATCTGGTTGCTGGGTGAGCATTTTTCTCCTTCTCTCTCTGCTCTCGCACAACTGGTGAGGCTTCCGCTGGGTCTCTCTCCAATTCTCTATTGTTTCACATCGTGTCTCAAGGAATCGGGCAATCAAACTGTGATATACCCTTTTCTCATATGTCTATCGTCTATGGCTACTACACCTTTTCTTCTCCTTTCACTTTCCCTCGCGCTTTCAGATTCGTCTTATGCTGATCCTCTTTTTTTTTCACTGTTAGGAATCCCAGTATCGGTGACACACATCCCAATTTCTTATCACCAGGCTGTCTCATTACTCAGTGAGTTGTCCATTTTTCTCTGCTCTCCCCAGACCGGTGAGGCTTCTGCTCAGTCTCTCTCTTCTTCTCCGTTGTTTCACGTCGCGTCTCAAGGAATCAGGCAATCAAACTGTGATATACCCTTTTCTTATATGTGTATTTTCTTCTCCTTTCACTTTGGCCTCGTTCTTTCATATTCATCTTATGCTGATTTATTTTATTCCTTTCATGATCATCTTGTGCTGATCGTTTTTTCTTGCCATTGTTAGGAATCATATCGGTGACACATTCCACTTACTTATCACCATGTCAGAGTCTTACAACTTCAAAACGGTAAAATTTCACCATCATGTCTGCCACCATCACACTGCATGCTGATCTGTTTTATGCAGACTCGGAGTGGCCGTCAATTTGCCCGTCTCGAGCGTCTCGTACATACCTCGGTCACGTTGCCCCCCTCCTCTTGAACTCCATCACGGAGGCCGATGATCGTGTCAGGCGAAGTGAGGCGATACACAACGCGCTGTCCTCGTGCACTGGCCCCTTTGAGCCCTGTGACTCGCCAGAATACGGTCCAGGCGATTCGCAGTTCGCCACACCGTCATCTACTCCGAACCCAGAACTCGACGATATCTCCATGGCTCCTCCTCCGACTACCAACCCTGCCTTCAACTCCACCACGGTCCTTCTCTCTCAGGCCACCGCCAATCTTGTCAGTCACGAAGCCAAGAGCCGTAGAGAGAAACGCAAAGCTCACTCCCGAGGCCACCGCAAGGAGGTACATGATTTGAAGATCACAGCAAAAGGGCCCGTCAACCGCAAAACACGGTCGAACACGTCGAAGAAGCATGCTGGCTTCGGCAAAGTTGTCAAAGTCGCCAACTTTCGTGTCGCCAATTTGTCCATTGCTCCTGGGGGCGACATAGGGCGTCATAGGCCAGCGGAGAAAACCCTCCCTTCTCTCGCCTCACTCATGGCTCGACCTGGCTTCCAGTACATCCCAAACGATGGCTTGTGTGTCTCTTTTTGTTCATTTTTTCGTAGTACTATCACTGACAGCTTTAGCCAGGTCATCCCTCGGTGTTGTCGACCCTGATGGCACCCTTGTTGCGGGTATTTTTCCGGGGCCTACTTCTCGCGACCCGAACACTCCCTTGTGGGGTAGTGTCATAGACGAGATGTCAGGTCTGATGGAGCGATTGCGGAGTGAGGAGGACATCTCGTTCTTGAAGGGGGAGACACATCATCGTCGAGGCGATTACACCGTCGTTTCGTCTGGCATAACCCATGGTAATGGGCGTAAGGTGCGTGTTTGTATTGTTTCTTGATTGCTACGTACTTTCTCAATGACTCTCCACTCCAACTGACTTGTAGGCTCCGGGAAACCTTCGAGAGCGTCACCCGACAATTGTGCAGGAATTGAAGGACAATGGGGCCGTGCGTCGTATCATAGGACATCAGGATGGTGTGTCTATTTGATGTACCTTTTCTCTTGTCACGTTTGTGTACTTAGCTGTTGCAGCATTGTTCCGATACAATGCACCGAAACTTTATTCATACTGTGCAGACCAAGTCGACCAGCTTCTTTCGCACCCGGCGCATGAAGAGCTTGAGCGACCTTTTGCAAACTCTGTCTACACCACCTTCACCGCAAACATGGGACCGAAATCAGCAATGTTCAAGCACGTCGACTCGCAGAACGATGCACATGTCTGGTGTGCCATAACGAATGGTGGACGGTTCGACTTCAAGAAGGGTGGTCATATGGTTCTGTATGATTTGAAGTTGATCATTGAGTTTCCTCCTGGATGTACCGCAATCCTCCCTCCGCCTCAGTGTATCACGGT